CAGCCCATCAAACATCCTTCTATTTCAAGCATTAAATTATCTCTAAATCTTTAGATTCATTCTCGTAGATTTTACTTGAATTATTTTTGCCCATCTTCCAACATCCAACCAATACTGAACCAGCCTCCAGTCAAATTTTGAACCTTAGTTTCACCTGTGAGCTAAAAACTTTACCCATCCCTGATCTAAGACACGAAAACATCAGAAGAGTCGGGCTTTTGCTTGGGAGCCGTAATGAAGGGGAAAATGAATCACAAAAAAACAACACAAAAGCGAATGGAGCACAGTCCAATATAAACTACAACCACAGTCCAATATAAACTACAACCACAGTCCAATATAAACTACAACCACAGTCCAATATAAACTACAACCACAGTCCAATATAAACTACAACCACAGTCCAATATAAACTACAACCACAGTCCAATATAAACTACAACCACAGTCCAATATAAACTACAACCACAGTCCAATATAAACTACAACCACAGTCCAATATAAACTACAACCACAGTCCAATATAAACTACAACCACAGTCCAATATAAACTACAACCTGCCAAAGTAAACAAAACCGCCCTGCACGTATAGCGCTGCTAAATCTTTAGATTCATTCTCGTAGATTGACTGACGATGTCATGACGATTTGTCCGCTTCATTCACCAACTTGTTCTTCATGCAAAATGTGCTTCAATGTGTCGGAATGAAGGAACAACACCATATGATACATTTGTGGGAGATGGCGACGTAACCACGAAACGCTGTTGGTCGATGATGCCGTAAACCGAGAACCCACCCCTGAATCCTGCAACAGTCGCAAGATTATGACAACAAATTTCACCAGATAACGTCGTCATATTATTGTGAATGAAACAAGACGAGAGCGGAGTCAGAAGACGGTGATGATGTGGTGTCTCCGGGGTTTATGCGGAGGACCAGAAGTCTAGAATTTAACGTCCTCACTGTTATCGTCCCTCCTCCATCTGTTGACGCTCAAGCCCTGAGTTACGGTCACAGAGACTTACTGAGCAATTTCCTGTGACAGCCCTCCAAATCAACCAATACTCATTATCTCACTCACTTCCACTGCACACTGACAGCTCACCTATCAGCAGCTCCAGTTCAAGCTCCGGAGGTACGTTCACGCTGATGTGTAACTGTATCTGTAAAAACTCAGAACAATATGTTCGTCCCACTGCCAAACCAACACTTAATTCTGAAAGTGAAAATTCAATAGCACATTGAATTGGCTTTAAAGATGCCCCGTGGAATACACTCAAACACAGAAACAATAACCAGAGCTGGATGTAAGAGACTGTTGTGGGATTAATATTATAGTTGATGATTACATTTATACCCTATATGAAGTATGTCACGCTGGATTTACTCTGAAAGAATTCAGACGAACTGAGTAAAAGCTCAGCAGTGACGTGACCGGTGCTACGACATACATGTCGATTCATTTAAACAGCAGAGCTAATATTACAGGTGGGCTCATGGTGGACTTCTTAACTTCTGATGACCCAGAGTTCACCCAGGACCCCCCCCCCACCCCCGGCCCACTGTTCCTCTGACTATGGACCACAGACCGTACATTAGAACCACAGGCGGTGGTGACAGCTGTGTTCTGCTGGTCTTTTTAAACTGAGGCTGCCGTAAACTCCTGTGAACAACGTGACATTTCTTCAACAGAGAAAGACAAACAGAAGTGACAATAAAACAGTTGGATGAAAATGTCCAGTTGACTTTTGTCCTGAATAATGCTTACGGATGTCACTGCGGTCACCTGTCATATCACTGCTGGCGGCCCGCGGGCTAAAACCAACCCACCTGACCATCCAGTTCAAAAGGTTTTTGGTCCTAAAAAACGAAAACATTCTTAAATCTGTCGTGTGACTCAAACGGCTCTGACCAGTTTTATCATATCTGTGTCAAACACTGATCTGTGCTCTGAGGTTTCTGAACCTTTCAACCATGGTTTAAGCTATAGCTAGGACCTTTGAAACTGTGAGCTTTAGTCTTTAGAAGACTCACAAATGAGGAGGAGGAGGAGGAGGAGGAGGAGGAGGAGGAGGAGACCTGGTGTGAAAGTCTAATTCACTGCTTGTGTTCATTTTTAGGCTCAAATTAAAGACAAAAAAGACAAAAAAGAAAGTGAGTTTGATGAATGATGTTTTTGTTGAATTTGTCTGAGAACATTTTGACTGGTATTGTCTCATCAAGCAGAGAATATGAAAGGATTCGTTCCACTGTGTTGAACTGTTCAGTCAGAGTGTACAGTGATGAGCTCCACGTCCAAGTTTGATCTACGGTTTGTGTCTTCCAGTAATCTCCCCAGCCTCTGTTTAAGTTATTCTGGATGTGTCAGCAGCAGCCGTACCCTCAGACCCCCCTCCGACACACACACACACACACACATAGATTTATTCTTCTGTCGTCTGCAGCTTTAAGCTACTTAGTTTGTGCGTTTTCCTTCTTTATCGTGTTCCCTCTCTCTTTTTTTTTTAAGTGAAGCAACATAATGTCATGTCGTACGTTTCTTCTGGCGACCTGCAGGAAATTACCTCACTATTTAAACCGCGCTGCTGATAAGTCAGCATTTTAATTAATGTGGATACATTGCAAAAGATATGGGCAATTGGGGGAAAAAACACATTCCACCGATTCTATTATTTAGTGGAGAATTAATTAAAACGCTATCCCGTTTTTTACGGCTACTTTGTTCTTGATAAGGATGTAAAGTAAAGGGTCTGTGAAGAGGGAAGGGGAAATAAATGTCTTCTTCAGCGGTGAGAGAGAGTTGGTGTGACTGGGTGCATTTAAATGAACACAAATACGTGAAGAAACAGCTGGTGAGCCGACGAGCGACTTCAGTCGGAGACTGATGATGAGATCAGACGTGTGTAAAGAGGCTTGAACAGACATTTTCTAAAGGTCACCACTGAGAGATTCTCCAGTTCCTCTGACTGACGTCCAACACCGAGTCTCCGTTTGTCACACACCGTATTTCCCAGCAGCGACCCGAGGGCTACTGCTTTTACTGCTCTGACAAACGACGGGAACACGTTTTATTGCGGTTTATAATTTGAATGAAGTCATTACAGGAATATGGGAGAGAATGTTCTCCTGTTGGGCTGCAGCGTGTCTCACTTTCAGTGTCTCTCCGTATCAGATTCATATTGTTTTTTCCCCTCCTCCTCCTCCTCCTCCTCCTCCTCCCTCCCTGTTGCTGCTCCTCTTTCAGCCCGTCTGCAGCAGCAGCAGCCTCGGTTACAGTGCTGTGAGATGTCAAAGTATGCTAATGAGGTGGCAGCATATGGCTCATTCCTTATTTAAGATTAGCTATCAGACAGCCAGCAAACCTCTCCACTCACCCACCGTCCCGTCTGGATCACACCACACTCATCTGTTACAGAGATCAGCTGAACACACCTGACAGAGATCGCTAACTTCTACTTCAGCCCCTGAATCTGAGCTTATATGAATCCTCCAATGGGGCGACAGGAGGAAACAGTGCTTCTTTATAATTAGGAGAAAAAAAAAAAAAAGGAAACGTACAAGAATTAATTACACGCTCCTCCAGAGAACACGAAGTTTGGCACCAAAACTAATTTGCACAGATAGGCGCGCAGGCACAGATGCATTGGTCCACTGACAGGCGTGTGTGCAGCGCTCGTCCATCACGCTTTGGTGAGCACTTTGTCACTCGGACAGATTTGCTTTGTTTGGTGACAGGAGGCTGCGACCTTGCCTATCTCACATGGTTAGACACAGATTTACAAGTGCACACACACACACACACACACACGTACACTGACAAATCCCCATTCTGCCAGTGCAGAAGTCACTTATATTTGATATGTGCAACAGGCATTTGACTTTAATTGAATCCAGTCGGTCTGAGCAGTGGCTTCACTGCGATTGTAACGCAGTAAAAATAAGTAAATTTTATTTAAAAAATAACTCCCCTGCAGGAAGTCAGATGCAGCTCAAATCAATATATTTCTCTATAACTGCACATTTAGAGAATGTTCAAAATTAGATATTAAAAAAAAAAAAAAATTATTGACCTGACAGTTTTTCCATGTCTTTATTGGGTGGACGGTTTATTTGGTGTCAATTCAAACCTCATCATTTAAACTGTCCTCCACCCTGAGACTGCGCTGCTACAGCAGAACAAGGGAAAGTGAACGTCTCCAACCAGTAAGACTAGTGTGTGTGTGTGTGTGTGTGTGTGTGTGTGTGTAGAACAGATCTAAACCACACACTTCCAAATATAACTTCAAACAGCTCTGTGTCAATGTTTGCTCACTTTGCTGTCTCTCGTTCCCCAAAGACGCGCCGCCTCCAGTACACAGTCTCCGTCAAACAATTATGTTTACTCGCCGAGGCCAGACAAGTGACAGGCCACGTATTTGATCAGGGGACGAGCACACACATTTAGCACCTCTAAATATCTCTATCAGTGTCCATTCTATTTCCATCCTCTTACATCGACAAACACGTGGGGTTCAGCGAGGTGGAAACCAGAGACGAGCAAAACAAAATGATGACTTTTATCATCGGAGTCAGAAGAAAAAAAAAAAGAAGGAGCTGTGAATAATATCACACCAAGCTACATCTGCTGTGTGTCTACTTCACTGGATGTTAAACAAACCAACTCCATTTACTAAACCAACTTCATAAACTTGACATTTAATAAAATGACATTTCATTAGATTAACCCAGTATGAAGTGGTTCATTGACATTCACATTTCTGTGTCTACACTGCTCACTGTAATTCTACCTTTCACACAGCGACGTCTTACTTGAAAATGAATCCAAAATGGCAGTGGATAAATATTCAAGGTTTTGAACGAAGCTTTTATGACTCAGCAGTTCTGCTGTTTCTCCATAAATCCTCGCTGGTTCTTTACAACTCTTGTAAAAATGCAACGACTGATAAACTGTTTTATTTTCACTGCTATAAAGATGCAGTTTACTGTAAGAGAACTTACCGTCCAGCCTCCTCCGTCCGTGGTCATGTCACAGTAGACCTGGAAACCTGTCGGGTGGTGAAGCGGAAACACGGAGTAGATGCCATCCTCTCGCTGACCACTGGCGTACAGATCTCCGCAGTCACGTGGGCGAGAGCCTGAGACGAGGACAAAAACAAGAAGAGATTAAAAACCTGGTTTAAATCTGCAGGAATAAATCAGTGCTGACGTTGAATCAGTTAAATCAGTACAAACGGCGATATTGTAATTTAGATTCAATTGCATTGATATATTGATACCACTGATCTATGCTCCCATCATTAGTGCACAGTGAGGAAACACTGTGTTTTCTGCCTGTAACCATAGACAGAGGCTGTGACTCTGTGGTTCCAGGTCTTTCAGTCAGAATGAATCTGGTCTCCTAGCTCTATTTCCAGATTGTTTCTTTTAACAACGGATCTTGAAGAGGGAACAAGGAGAAGTCAGGAGGAGGAGGAGGTAGAAAAGACCGTCACTAACAGCTGCAGATTCACACTGATGCAGACAAAATGGGGGGAAAAGAAACAAAATGAAAAACAGGGAAAAGTCACAGCACAAAGACGTGTGTTTCCACAACGACAACGTCAACGGTTGTGGGTAAAAAGGCAAAATTCAGGCAAGAAATGTGACTTTGTGAGCCGATATACAGTAAAGGTGTGAGTAATACAGCGCAGAGTACAGAGTGAGCGGAGAGGGTTTAGAGGAGAAAGACAAAAAGAGAATTTAAAAAGAAGTGACAGAGACAGGGAGTATGCCACGGCAGAGCAGAACTGCAGCACCTTCTCCTGTGAATGAACCTCGGCTCACACAGGGGACTACAAAATCTATTCCCCTGAAAGTAAGAAAGGAACTTTGTGATGAGCACAGTGTCATAGATTATGCATGGCAGGCTTCACGGGGTCAAACTTCTGAATTTAAATCAGCCAGGAGAGTTCTTGAAGAGATCATACAAGACTGTCTTTTTAAAATTCCCTACATGACATAGAACCTCCACCCCCCCACACACACACACACACACAGGAACTTCTCTGTGTGTCTGTGTGAGACTTCTATAATGAGTTTGGACTTTCACCGTCGTCAAACAAAAATGAACATTTTTCTATATAGAGCTGTCATCGTATTATCGCCTAAAATGAAAACTACGGCAGTTTTTTTTAATGACTGTATTTCCTCAATTTTTTCATGTTTTTTTTATGCTAATTCCAATTTAGTTTCACCTAGTAAAAATATGAAACAACGTTTGGTACGAACTTTATCGGCAGACTTTCCTGTCATGAGTATTGTTGGTCACAATCCTGATCGTTCGTCTTTATTGATCTCTGTGGTGAAATCAATGGAGTCCTGGCCCCCGGAGGAGCATTAGAAATGTACATGAGAAATAGACAAATAGCTTTGAAATGTAAAAAATAGTCAATATGACCATAACAACAAGTCCATCCGACACCAGGTGTAGAGTTACAGCAGCAGGTTTAAAGAGTCTGGTGACCAAGGCTGTGTGTGAGTCACTGTCCAAGAGAGACCTGAACTTTGACAGCATTCTTCTCTCTGACACCACCGTCAGAGAGTCTAAATCAAGCCCCACCACGTCCAGTGGCATCTGCCACCCTGAGACCGCTGCCACCCTGAGACCGCTGCCACCCTCAGACCGCTGCCCCGGCATGGAGCAGAATATGAGACAGCACCGGAAACAACAGTAAAAATAAAACTTCCTCACAAGCATTTGACAGATGTTGAAGGACCTGAGATTAAGAAACAGAGCCGACTTGGACCCTTGTTGTAGAGGACGTCACTGTCCCCGTCCAGTTTGTCGTCCATGTAGACACCTAGAGTACTTCTTTTCCTCAACAGTGTCCACTCTGACCGCTGGATAGAAATGGGGGTCACTGACCTCTCGGACCAGTTTCCTTAGTGTTTTTTACATTGAGCTGCAGGTGGTTTCACACAGACCAAGTCACATTTAGCTTTAAGTCTACCACTTTTCACAGGTGGTGCTACTGTTTCCTTCTTTTAGCAAATACTCTCTACATACATGTATGATTATATTCCAGTACTGTGTCAACATTATATTTGGTGATAAGGTGTGATCTTGGTGTTATCCTATAACACATCTTTATACAGAACATCTGACATACAAACATCATCGTTACCAGTTTAACAACAGAAGATACACTAACTGGATTCACACATCTAACAGCAGGAGTCAGACCACACTGTAATTAGATGGTGTGGAGAGTAGGTTTATACTTAGTGGACAATAAACAAGCAGAAAGTTATGGTATGCTGTCCTTGTCTCCCCCTGGTGTCCACTACCATGGACAGTTCACCAAAACTAAAACTTGTTCATTACAAACTTCCTTCCTCCAAGAGCGCTGAATATCTCACACCTGAACCTGTTTCTAGCACAATTCTGTTAAAACACACTTCCCCTGAGTGTGTGTCCGTGGAGATCAGAAATCCTACTTTTTTTTTAAACAATGTCCTTTAATGGTTTAAAAACAGTTAAAGGATGAAATGTGTGACACTATGATTTTATTCTGATTTAAATCTAGGTTTTGTGAATTTGTAAGAAAACTGGAACTGAACAATTAAACCAGCCCAGCAGGGGGCAATCAAGCATTTACTTTAACATATATACCTACTGTTAATAAGGAGTCTCAATTTACTTTGAATTAACTCTGCGTCCATTCTGGACTGTGGTAGAGACCATCAATGTGGTAAACAAAAAATAATTATGGAGCAAATACAGCAAAAATGCTAATAAAGTACACTGATTATATACTTCATAACTGTGCACATGTACCATCAATGAAAATGTGTTACTCTGTCCATGGTGCTGAACTATGGTCCTGGTTGCAGGAGGGGGGAAAAAAATCACTATTTAGTGTTAAAGTTGGGAGGACACATGAAAAGGAAACACAAACAGAAGAGGTGGGAGTCAGGAAGATATTGATAATAACCCCCGACCCACCTTTGATAACAGACTGAAGTCAGTTTTACAGAAACACAGAAAATACAAAGACCACAACGCCCACATTCACAACAGGGGTTAGGACAAAGGACAACGTCAGGGCGTGTACGCCACCTGTGTTCAGAAACACTGTCAGATTCAACCAGACACAAGACAGAAGACGTGCGATAAATAAAACCTTATTAGACCTTTATTAAAAGTGTAGTTTGTTACATCATATTTTGAGCAGTTCTTGTAAATTTATTTCCCCCACATTCTGAGTACAGAGGGGTGCAACACAGACCATAAATTTACTAATGGCTGCCTTAACACCAGGGAACAACAGCATTGCTGTCTGTGTTGGTGTTATAATTACCATAGAGCCAGGAGACAACAAATTAAAGTAAAGCTTGAAGACATTATTACACAACTGGGCTTTGATGCCTAGTGTGAGATGGTAATGCTGCTGCTATCTGCTTTTCTCTATTGATTGATTTCATTATTTATTGCCAGTGTGACTCCAGTTTAATTTCAATTAACTGTGTTGGGGGAAAACAGAAACTTCAGCACCATGGACAGCGCTAGAGCCAGAGTCACAGCGTTTTACTGAAAAATAACTGTCCATATGGGTCGGTTTCAGTTCAGTACAAAATAACTGTCCATATGGGTCGGTTTCTAGGATAAGTACAGTTCAAATCATAATCCACACACACACAAACCCATACATAACTGTCAACAGTTATTTATATATTCATAAGGAACATTTTCCGATCTGTCAAATGGTTAGCATTTGATCTGCAGACATCAGGAGGAGCAGAGAACAGATCCGGCAGAAACAAAGCAAAATCTAAGCTCTTAAACCAGGGATGCAGAAACTTTGGAAAACAACAGCTGATAGGTGGCAGGTGTGTGCGATAATTACTCAATTGCTTTAATGAGGCTAATGAGGCCACATGCCTCGACTGTTTGTGGAATAATTGGGGGGGAACACACCAACGGCAGGAGAGAGTCAGACTTCTTGTTTTTCACACAGGCCTCTCAGAAACGTGCTTGGTTTTGATGTTTTCAAGTGTTTAAAGGATGAATTGTTCTCTCATACAAAAAGGAAAATGGAGACCCCCCCCCCCCCCCCCCCCCTCCCCCGCCCCACACCCACGCCCCTCCC